TCATTTTAGTCACCGTTCAATTTTATTTCCTATTTTTCTCACTTCATATTTCATAACATTCCAAGTTTAGAATATTGAAACACACGGCATTACGCACTGCTCTAAACTTACGTGAAATATAATTAAGATGCATCCTTTGACAAATTTAGTTGTCTGTACGCCACTATAATCTAACATAGTAGATGAATATAATTATTGTGCACTTTCCATTATCACGCACGCTAAACGCCATCCCTTTTATTGAGAAATTTTGCGTCTTTTATCGCACTATACCCGACGTTACTATTACTATTAATATTTACAATTAATATTAATTTCCGACTATTAATATCATTTTATTTGAACGACTCGAGCATTATTCGTAACAAATAGATTGAAAAACAATCTTAATACAGTAGAAATACGTGATTGGTCCTGCTGAACCTTGTATCTTCAGCTCTCCGCGCATTTTATGAAAACGTACACATTTATATATGTATATCATACAGAATACTCTATTAAGCAAAAAATATTTTGGGGCAAATTTCATGTCGGCTTCCTTTTTAAATTTCTCTCGACTGACTGGAATTATATTTTTTTCCAATCATAATTTTTCTCTTGGTTTTAACTATTCTTGACCGTTCCTCCCTGATCGTTTTTCAGTCTCACGAAAATATTGGAAAATATTGGTCTTTCTACGCGATTACCACACGATATTATATGATATTTACGATAAACTTCGTATACGACATATACATATATTTTTTTTCCGCATTATCGGTTTATTATAACTTATTGTAAACGAAACTTAACACATTTCGTTGTAAATTTTGTTCCATTGTAAAACGGTATAAAAACAGCCAAAGATTATGTTATTAAAACGTTGAAAAATTGACTATTCTATTGCACACAAATGAAGCTACGTCCATTTCGCAAGCAAAATAGTCTCTTTTCAATTTTAAATCACGAATAATCTATCTGTCTGTCATTTATTTTCACCATTTAATCGTCAGATGATGATCTTGTCCAAGAATCCAATGCCGATATCTTTCCTCTTGCTGAAAATTTATTAACATTCGAACTAACGAGGATTAATTACCTGTTTCTATTATTTAAATATACAGGATGTTCCAAAATAATCGCCAAATATTTCATGGCCAAGTAGAGCGGAAACTAACTAACGATCATTAAACTGACTTAAAAAGTCTCCTTTACCATTTTGTAATTTTCGCAATAGTTAATAACATATTAATTACTAAAAATTGTCGAAAATTGGTTTTCAATAATTTTTTACTCAAATACTTATGTATTCTAAATATTCTTCTTATTTTACCAATTTATAATTTTATTCTTCTTATTTTTACCAACATGAAAAAATACGGTATTAAAAAAATTCTTAAAAAATTCTTAGAATTCTACGAGAAGAAAATAATTTTTGTTCTTCTTGCAGTATTGTTTTTCTTGCAGTTTGCTGTTGATAGTATTTGAGTAAACAATTATTGAAGACCAATTTTCGGCAATTTTTAGTAATTAATATCTTGTTAACTATTACGAAAATTGCAAAATGCTACCATTTTTCGTAGAGGACTTTTCGATTAAGTTCAGTCCGCTCTATCTGCCCATAAAATATTTGGCAATTATTTTAGAACATCCTCTACATATCACTTTGAAAAAAAGGATGAATGGGAAAAATAAATTTAATCATTTACATATTGCAACAAAAATCATGGAAAATGCAAATTGTTGTAAATTTGATAAAACAAATTATTTTGACTGTTTTGGTTGTTCTAGCAAATCCTAGCAAAATATACACGTATATGCGTATATGTATGTACGTATACGTAGAACGAAAAAGATCGATTGCACGAGGTTTTAATTACTATGACAATTTTTATTCAGACATCATAAGATATAAACAGACTTCGGATTTTTAAACATTAGTGGTTCTGGACCGTGTGGCGCTCTATTTACTTTTTTTTATTTTATTTTAATTTTTGTATTTTATATCTCTTCCGTCTGCGAGAGACGAGAGGAACAGACGGCGATCTATATTACCTTATAGAGCGTAAAAAATTCTACTTGTGGTCGACGGACCCGTGGTCGACGGATGTTTACGACGGACCCGTAGTCTCTGTAATTTACACTTACTGCTTCAGCATCATCCAACTCTTCTCTAAAAATTTGTGTGTGTGTGTGTGTGTGTGTGTGTGTGTGTGTGTGTGTGTGTGTGTGTGTGTGTGTGTGTGTGTGTGTGTGTGTGTGTGTGTTTCATAATAACGGTTTCGCGTTATCATTTCCAATAAAGAAAGAGAATAATTATACAAAAAAGGAGGCATAATCAAATGAAATTAATATATAGAGCGTCAAACGAGACATGTAATGTAATCGATTAAAGAGACAAAATCAAAGATGAGGGAAAGAAATCTTCGATTATTCATTCGGGCGATCTACAAGTCGATCATCAATACAAGCAAAGAGCTCTTGGATTTATAGAGAGAGAGAGCGTTAAGATAAAGCAAAATAATATACATAAGGTGAAGGTAAGAAACATAAGGTGGGAAAATAGATTGACGAGTTGTACGTTGAAAATTCGCGAAGAGATGTGCGTGAGAGAGTGGAGTTTGCATTGGTCGTAGACAAGCCGAAAGGCTGCCGAGGAACATGGTTCTGAAAGTATTCAAACTAGCAGTCCGTAGTAATCCGTATAACAATAAACCGATTTGTCAATCGCCTAGCATTCGCCCTAAATCGACGAAACTCTGAGGTCTCTTCCATTAAACATTAGAATTCTAATTAATTCTATACGTTCTCTCCACGTTGCGTTCTTTCTTTTTTAAGGTTCGACATACAAATGGGAAAAATCGAAGCATTACGCGACAAATCTCCAGAACCACGCCGATTGACGAGTACTTATAAAATTTACGAGAGTTTAAAAATTTGTCAACGTCTATAAGTTAACATTTACGTAGTTATTTTCAGTGTCCATGCACTCCGATTTTTAATCTCACGTTTCTTTGCATACCTTAAAGTCATTCGAATGATATACATCAATAACGATTTCTATGTGTTGTAATCGGAGATTACATTGCTGTGGCTGCTGCGATTCTCTGTCGGTTGCATTCATTTACGAATGAACTCTTTATGCATGAAAGAGAGGACCCGCGCTATTTACAAACGATTTATTCCAAAAATTTCGCACAAAGGTGCGATAAGTTATCTAGAGCAATTTTTCGCTTACGTAATACATTATTATCCTCTTGTAATACATTACTTACAATTATTCCGTAAAATTTATTATAATATTAATATACATATTTAATATACATTTCATTATTATATATTAAAAGCCGATTAATTTTAAATCATTTTATTATTTTTATTTCGATTGATTTAATTTCGTCTTTAATTAGTCCTTTAATTCTGACTTTCGCTCAACGTTATAAATTTTCTGTAAAGCTAGCGAACTTTGATTATTATCATTAATTTCTCACAATATAACAAAATATTTTCAAGGTCAAACGTTAGCTGATTGGAGTGAAATTTTTCAGTTAGCTTGTGATTAATTAAAAATTACCGGTAAATCTTTCGTAAATGGCGCGGTCCCCCGGAAAATGTCGAGAATATCTATGGCTTTTTATAAAGCTCTCCGTATTTGTGTTGAGCATGCACTTGAATGGGTGTAATCGTGGATTGAGATAGATAGATAGAGAGAGGGGGAGAGAGAGAGAGAGAGAGAGAGAGAGAGAGAGAGAGAGAGAGAGAGAGAGAGAGAGAG